TGGATGGAGAGGCCCTGGGTGAGGTGCCCTGGGTGGGGGATGAGGCGGGATGCTGTGGTTTGGCACTTGGCACTTAGGAGGCTTCTCTCCCCAGGAGAAGCTGAGCACCAGGGAGCGTGCATGGCGGCAGGTCGGGGCTAGGGACCGCTGTGAGTCCCAGATGGGGCTGGGCAGCTCCACCCCTTCCTTCCCTCTTCCTTCTGCTTAAGCAAGGGGTTGGATGGTATGCACTTTCCACCTGCTGGAGGGTGGTGGCCGGGTGGGCACAGCCATGGCGCCTGAGCTGGGCTGGAGGCCTCTGCAGTGCTGGGCAGCTATAAATAGGCCTTCTGGAGCAGGCCGCCTCCCCAGAAAGCTCCAGATCTGAGCCTGTGCTGGGCTGGGGAGGAGCTGGGAGGTGATGGGTGGTTTGAATCTTCTTGATGGAATTCTACTGTGATCTGCACACTTTCCAGGGAGCACTCTACTCTGGGTAATAGTTGGAGCAGCCATTACTGCAGCATCAGAGTGAGGAAGCTGGGAGAAGGGGACCAGGAGGTGAGTATGAAGGCCAGGGCATGGCCTCGCGTCTGCACCAGGCTCCCGCCACCTCCTTCCCTTCTGCCAACACAGACAGCAGCGCTCAGCCTACCACCTAGCAGTGCCTTTGTGGAGGCGCATGTCTGTGGAAATAACGCCCTACAGACCCTTCTCTGTTAGGGACGCTCACACCCTAACACAGCGGGCGCCCTGCAGCAACCGAGGGGGGCAGGGCCCCTCCCCTCGCCAAGTGCTTCCAGGATCATGTGATGGGAGAGGGGCTGGCTGGAGCCCACAGCTGCGACACGCGTCTGTGAACCCAGTTCCAGGCTGGGCCAGTGCTGTCTGCGCCACCAAGACACCCCCCCCCCCCCAGTGGTCCGGTGCTGTGGGCTCAAGTCACCATGGGGGCCGGGGTAGTCCGGAGGCAGAAGGGGCGTGTGAGAGCGACGCGGGTTCATCAGCACCCCAGGAACACGCGCACAAAGGACCGATCCCTAGGGTCCATGACAGCTGGTCTGCTCCTCCCGAAAGACGCCTGAGCGTCGGGGACAGCAGCTTCAGAACAACCGGCCACAAAGGGGCGCGACGCGTCCCCCTGGCCTCCTTTCCAGGTCCTCATTTACATAACCGAAACCGCAGAATAAAGAGCTCCGTCCTCCCCCAAAGGCAGGGCAGAAGCTGGGGCCGTGACGGCGGCGTCCTAGCAGCCCTCGCCCTCCTGCCGGCCGCGACACGGGTGCGCAGCCTGTGGACAGCGGAGGGCCCGCCGCGTTGGGATCTGCGGAGCTGCTGGCGCTGTCACCTGCAGGGAGGGGACGCTGGCGCCGGGCCTCCGCACCTCCGCGCGCGAGACCGTGACCTCGTTTCACACCTCTGTGCCCGAATCTGCCACGGTCCCTTGGCGGCGGCGGCGGCGGCGGTCGGGGATCTGCCGTGGGCGGGCACTGCTCCTGCCGCCGCGCGGGGGGCCTGGAGCGAAGGGCCGCCGTGCGCCCTCGGGCCACCGCGGTGAGCTGACTCAAAGACAGACCACAACGCGTGCTGGGGACCAGTCGCGGACCTGTCCTTGGAGCCGCCGCCCCGCTCGCCCCCCGGAGGAGGAACACGCAGCTCCTACGGCGGCAGCCCGCCAGGACCCCGCCCGGGGGAGGGTCGCAGGTGGCGCGCACGCGGCCATCGGGGAAATCGCAGATACGCTGTCGCGCGGACCCGCCGGACCTGCGCCCCAGGCCTTGCACAGCGCCCACTATGCTCCGGCTTACCTCGGAGATGCAGCCACTGCAGCGCGGCGCCTCCGCGACTCGCCCTGCGCCTGAAGCCCGAGCGCAGCGCCACCGCCACCGCCCCGGCCCCTCCCCGCCGGCTCCGCCCCGGCCCCGCCCCCCGGTCCCGGCCCCGCGCGCACCGCGGCCCCGCCCGGCCCGAGCGCGGCTCACCGAGCAGTGAGGTCGCGATGCCTTACAAGGCCTCCCGCGCAGGCCCCGCCGGCCACCGGCGCCCGCTCGGCGTAGGGCGCGGCTGTCCGCGGAGCGTGGGAACCCGGCGGAGGCCGGGCGGGGGCGCACCTGGCCTTCCGGCTGGAGCGCGCGGCTAGTCCGGGTGGGCGCCGAAGGGGAGAGGCACTGGCAGCGGCTGCGCCCCATGCCTGCAGGCTTTGGGCTCTGCTGAGACACAGGCGGCCTCGGGTTACCTGTGTGAGAGCTTGGTCCTGAGACCTCTGCTCACTCCTTTCTGAGGACACCTGCCTGGGGTCTCCGCCCTCCGGATCATGGGTGGGGTGGGGCGAGGAGCGCACAGCCCTTAGAAGGTCGCCGGGCAGAAGATTCTGGGCTGCGGGAGTACGGAAGTGCCTTAGTTCTAGGGTCCCCTTGGTCCTTAAGGCCACAGGACACTTCCAGCTTTACTACTGTGGCTCTGGTGGACCTGAGTACCCCCGACCCCAGCCATGTTCAATCTGCTGACTGCGGTCCCCCATCTCATGTAGGCTTTGTCCCTTTCTCCTGGCACCAGGACCCTCCCTCCCCCTCTGACCCTTTCCTGGTTAGAACAGCCCCCCGCCCCTTCCAGGCTGCACCTTTCTCCTGGCTGCAGGACCCCACCCACCCAAGACATACATCCAGGCTCTGTCCAGTTACGCAAGCACTGGCCCACCCAGCTTCCGTCTCCCTCTCAGATTCCAGCCACCCTGGGAGCACCCAGGAGGAAGTTGAGATCTGACATACCAGCCCATTCATGGGTGGGGTCTGAGGCTTCAGGAGCCAGGAAGAGCCAGGCTCTTGGGGGCATCTTGTCCCCATCTCACGCTGCTTCCTCTCTGACCCTCTGGTTTCTTCTGCTCAAAGTGGGCCAAAGGTTCACTGCTAAGCTGGGGAAAGGTGGAACCAGGCCCAGGCCCTCTCTGGCCCTCTCTGAGACTTGGAGCTCTTTCTATTGGGTGGAGGCCTGGTGAGCAACAATGTCAATCATGGTCTTCCTACTGGTATATCAGCAAAAACAGACACTTACCTCAAACACAGGTGCTTCCAAAAGCTTTCCCATACTCCCGACAAAGGCACTGACTTCTCCAAGGAAACTGCAGAGGCGGCAGCAGACTCAGGCAGCAGCTTTCAGGGACCCCTGGGAAGCAGGGCAAGTGTGCGGGTCAGCTGCAGGAGCAGCGTGTCCAGGGTGTTGAGGGAGCCTCCAGCTGAGGCTGTGGGCCTGGCTTCCCATCAGGCGCCCACAGTCCGTGAAGACATGGTGGTTGTGAATAAAACTGCTTTGGGTGTGTGACTTTATGGCAGGCAGCCTTAGACGTGCTGATACGGTCACCTCCCGGTTTGGGAATGGGAGGGTCCGGCAATCCAGCCTGGCCTCCTGACCAGCACACCCTGGGTAGGATGGTCTGGAGCCTTGGCACTTGGTGCCGTTGCAGGACCTGGATGACCTCTGCCCCCTCCAGTTGTTCAAGACTGGCCATCAGTGGAGATGTGTGCCAGGTGCCCTGTGAAGGGGCTGCCCTAACAAGTCCTTCCACATGGGTGGCTGGGACCTCATTGACTCTCCAGCTCTGGGGCCAGAAATGCCACCGTGTGGCGGACGAGCCCTGTACCCTGTGAGGCTCCAGGGAATCTCCCTGCCCCTTCCTGCTGTGTCACCTGACCTCTACCTCTGTCCTCATGGCCCAGGCGTCTGTCTCCTCCGTGTCATAGCCCACTTGGGAGGCCTTGATGCCCATGGGGTATTCCTGGGAGCCTCTGGCTCCCCCGGTGTGCCCTGTGGCCCCTGCGGGGTTCTCGGGATGTCTGGGCTGCTCCTGGAGGCTGTGCTGCCCACCTGGACGGCAGTCGCCCGTAGCCAGGGCCCTGGAGCTTCTTCATGCAGCCTGCTCACGGGCAGCTCTTGGCTCTCCAGGTTACAAGTGACCTGGACAGTCATGTCCACAGGGTTTGTAGGCACAGCAGCAGCTCAAAAAGCCCACAGCAGACCCTTCACCAGACCCACTCCAGAGAGATGGAGAGACAGAGGCAGAGTCACACAGAGTCGGACAGACTCAGAGACAGACTGCGTGAGGGACAGGGAGAGAGTGGAGCTGGCTTGGCCTGGCCGCCTGCTGCTTGGACACTCCCTGGAGCTCAGTGGAGACAAGCGGCTTGTGTCAGGGCAGGGCCCCGCTCTCCTGCCCAGCAACACAGGGCTGGCCGAGAGCACCTCACAGCCAGGTGTGGTGGGCCTGCTGGGGGCTTCCCAGGGAGCTGGGGGTGCAGCGAACCCCGAGAGGGAGACCGAGCGTGGCATCCAGGGTCCTTCCTGTCCTGTGTGAGGCACTTCCTGCTGCAGTGGGTGGGGAAGCCTCTCTGCTTGCCAAGCCTGTGCCCCCAGGGTCCTGCGGACTGTCAGGGAGCTGACTGTGGGCACAGCTGTGGGGCAGAAGCCCAGAACGGGGGCCTCCAGGGTCCAAGGGGTTCTGCCCAGCTGGGGGCCTCAAGCCCCTCCCATCCTGCTCTGTGCACCCCACCCTGGCTGCCTGGGTCTGCCCCTCTGACCGGCTCTGTGCAGCCCACCACTCTGT